AAGCGATTCTTTTAGATTACATGACAATGCTATTCCAGTAGGAAGTCAGTGGACTGAAAGTTATGCCTAAATTGTCCCATTAGAGAGGACCCAATGGGCCTGGAAGGGGCCACTTGTAAATGAGGGATAGTCCGAACAATAAATAGGATGAGGAGAGTCAGATCAAAACAATCTGTATCAGTATTCTGAAGGCCTTCCAGGGAAAGGGTTACTTCTAGGGGAGGGAGGGAGAGAGGGAGAGAGAGACAGAGACAGAGACAGAGACACAGTGAGAGATAGGGAGAGCCCACTGCTGCATGTTTACCCAAACCTGTAGCTCAAATTTCTTCAGTTTGTGTTTATTTCAGTCTTAGAAGTCTAATGCCAAAGAAGAATGCATTACTGAAAACACTTATGTGTATACATATACACACTGTGTATTAGGGTTTTATTTTAATAGTTTGGTCACTATAATCCAGAAGGAGGTAAATATTTTCTGCCTTTCCAACCCAGACTAGAGAGTTTACAATTCTTGGTTGCCAAGACCTGCCACATTGTTTGTTTCTGTCTTTGTGGGAAATAAGCAAACTGGTCAGTAAAAAGAGATCTTTACTTAGATGAATCCTAAATGAGCCTCTATTCTTCAGTTATTACTTAAAATGGAAACATTGACAACCAGGAAATTTCATCAGTAATTTCTTGAGTTTGGCCACCTCTCAATGCTTGGTTTCTGGTAAATGTTGAATATTTAAATGTGGGCTCATAAAATGCGTATGTTTTAAAAAAATAATTATCAAGGGGCAATTAAGTGATTCAGAGACGGGAGAGGGAGAGGACTTGACATAACCTGACATGCTTTGGTATTGAATCAACTCAGAAGCTTCCGCTCCTCCCTATTTGTTGCTAACTCTGTAACTTGTATTAGTGCTGTTATTTAAGCAAACCACGTTACAGCAGCATATGATAGAGACAGACAGTGTTCTCTAAGGGTCAGTCTAAACGAGGCAGTAATAACAGTAAAACAGTCATGGGCTGAGGGTTAATAGCCATCTGGGTCAAAATGAAGGTCCAGGATATTGTCAAAAAGGATCTGTTTGTTCAGTCCTAAATTGCCTGTAGCAGTGGTTGCAAGTACATGAGTAGGTTACTGTACAGAAGAGGAGCTTAATTTTAATATAAGTAGAATATTGGCTATTTTGTAAAAAGCACAACTAAAAGCATTCCATTTTGAAAGTGGAATCAATGTCATTACTCTGCAAATAATTGGTTCTCATGAATGAAATTCTCACCTACAACATGCATTTGACTTGCAGTGTAAGACTAGCATATCTTTGATGCCACCCCAGTTGTTTGTGATCTGAAAACCCACATTTCACACTCCTTGGAGCTCTAGAGCATTTTTAAGTGAAAAAGATGCACGTTTTCCCATTGAAAATGATGGAAGAAACTTTGCTTTTGGAGAATAAATGTAAAATAAAGAACAGATTGCTCTATGAGTCGCTGTCCTTGTAGGCCATGTGCCTCCTATCTGATTTGCTCCCATTGGGCTTTAGGCTGTGTCCCTTTGTGAGGCTGAGTTAGCTGATAAAGATGACAGCACACCAGGTTGGCCTCAGTTGATATCACTCCCTCCTTGTGCAACTTCGATGTGCAATTCAACAACTTAAAAAAATTAAGCCTTATAAAAGAGGCTATCATATGGGTAGTATGTAGGGTTAAAGAGGGATCAAATGAGAAAACCACTAGATGTGTGAATTTACCATCCACTCATGTGGTTGTTCAGCCAGTATCTGGTAAGCCCTATGCACAATTCTAAGTGCTTTGGATGATACAAACGTATAGTCTATGGGCTACAGTGTTGGCAAACCTTTTAGAGACCAGTGCCCAAACTGCAACTCAGAACCCACTTATTTATTCCAGAGTGCCAACATTGCAATTCAACCTGAATACTAAGGTTTTATTTAGAAAAAACAACTCATATATTGACATCTTTTGTCTTAAAAGGAAAACAAATAGCACTTACGCAATAAATTTGCCACCACCGGTTATGGTTTCCATTTTTGTACTATTGAGTTGGAGAGAAAACAACAATAATATATCACTTAACATCATTTAATTACAAGGATATGTTCAGGGAGGTATGTCAGTAGGTAATTGTGTCATTTTACAGACATTATAAAGTGTATTCACTGAGACTGAGGCTGCTACAATGCCACCAGGCAATGATGTCTTATGGAACTGCCACCAGATATATGTCTGTTGTTGCCCAAAATACTATTATGTGACTCATGACTGCAAAATACAAAAACAAAAAAGCCCATAATATGAAACTTCCAAAAATATATTTCAAATGTGATCTCAAGCCAGCCTTACTGATCAGAACCTCTGAGATGGATCATAGGTGTTTCTGAAGCTCCCCCAAAGCCCAGTGGCTTGTGAACCACTGGAACTAACAGTAAACGCTGGGAATGAATGGAACTTGGGAAGGACTCAACTAGAAACTTCCCTCCAAGAAACAAGTTTCTCCACATTCTACTTCCCACAGTTCAAATCCTGTATTTTAATGTGTTAAGAAACTTTCATAATCATAAATGTAGAATCAAGTAAGAGGAAAGTTTTCAACCTAGAACTGTCATAGAGGTGGAGTTCTCACCCAGTGTATTTAACAAACATATGACTTCAAATGCAGGAAATGATTTCCTACCATTTTTTTGGTTGAACTTGGAAGCTTCTTACTTAAAGTTTTGAGAGCATGAGCATACATGTGATATGTAATTATAGTCTCTACCCACAGAAGCTCATTACTGGAATTTCTCCTCTATCTGCTAGTGAAGGTGGTAAGGAAATGAGAAAGAAATCACCAAGTACACACAAGACTTTATGAGCAACATTTTCCAAATATGATAAAACAGTTCTTAAACATACAAATAAAAATCCAACTTTCAGTTAAGATAGAAATGCTGCAAAGAAAAGAATATCAGAAGAGTGCCTTCTTTAAAAGATCTTTTTCAAATGAATAGTTATTTGCCCTAGAGAGGTAGAAAGCAGGAAAACAATCAAAGCTATAATAACTCTAGGTACATAAAGATTAAAGTCTATGGTCTGTCTTTCAGATGTACAAAAAATGAAATCACTACAGGGAGAAAAAAATGAGCCATAGGGAAACAAATCAACTTTGTAAAAATATTTAAACAAAATTATTAAAATCCAAGTTGTTATTTTATAGATGTTGATGTGCTAGTAAAAGTCTAATAAAGTGCTCTCTGGAATGAAGACAAAAAGCTCTGAAATGTAGCAGTTGCCATTTTTCATGGTGTCAGTGCTTCCACTATGGCTGATTTCAGGCCAGCAACATCAGTGAAATGTAGATCTGGAAAGAGATACACAGAAACACACCATTGTGTAGTATTTCCTCTTAGAGATGCAATAGACATAAATAACATCAGGAATGTGGTTGGTTAATAGTAAAATATAAGGGCTGGGGATTTAGCTCAGTGGTTCCAGCGCCTGCCTCTCAAGTGCAAGGTCCTGAGTTCTATCCCCAGTACCAAAAAAAAAAAAGTAAAATATAATGCAATAGAAAGTATTGAGGTTTGAGTATATATTACTTTCCAAGAAATGTAATTTACTTAACTCTACATTGATATAATTTAAGGTTTAATAATACCTTTGTTTTAACAGTTGGCTTCAAAATTCCTGAAATTTTAACAGTTGGTCCTCCAACGCCATTCTGAGCCCAGCTACAACATGGCACTGGTAGATCTAATCATTTTCTCCAATGGAGGAGACTACAAAAACCAAAGTTCTCAAAGCAGCTTTCCTGAGTCACTCCTAAATGGTGTGCGTGCGTGCGTGTGTGTGTGTGTGTGTGTGTGTGTGTATGACTGGAATTAAGAGTTAACACAAGAACAAATTAAACAAAGACTTTCTGCTGAGAAGTTCAATGAGAAACACTGTATGCTGTAGATCAGGGATTCTAAACTGGTGCCATTTTGTTCCCCAGGACATTTGACAATAACAAGGGCATTTCTACTTGTCACAACTGTGGCATCTAGAAGGAAGAGGCCAGAGATGCTGAACTGTGGCATCTAGAAGGAAGAGGCCAGAGATGCTAATAGTGCCAAGGCTAGGAATCTGCTCGAGTCTTCTGTATAAAGTCAAATGTTATCATTTCTTTAAAACTGAGTGCAGTCTCTCTCTTAAAATAATTTCCTCTATCAGATAACAAGAATTCTCTATAACCCACTGTGTCTCCCCTTTGGTCTTCACTAGTAGTAACTATTTTAATATTTCTGCTTACTCCTTTTTTAGGACCTTGGTATTTTTTATCTTACCTTTGTACATGAGTCTTTCATTAACAAGACAAATGACCTTTAGAAATAGGGAGGGAATGGATGATGGATGGATGGATGCATCGATGAATGAATGAATTGATGGAAGGAACAAAGCAAAATAAAGAGAAAAAGAAGAAAGAAGGAGGATGAAATTTTGCTTTAGAATTGGAAAAGACAAAAAAAACAGGATGTCAGGGTGCATCCATTTTCCCATAAATGACTCATTTATTTTTCTTTACAGCAGAGTAGTACTCCATTGTGTGTAAATACCACATTTGATTTATCCATTTATCTTTTGATGGCCATATAAAAAGCAAAATAAAAGTTAGCTAGTAGAAAGTAGAGAGAGAGAGAGATCTTTCTCAAATGGGGAGGGGATCAGGAGATGGAGGGGGGAAGGAGAGGTGATAGACAAAAGAATGAAGATGCGTTCTGTTCATGGAGCAATTCCACACAGGGAATGACAACATCATGTAATGCAAACATGTGCAGTGCTAAAAAAATAGAACAATTGCGTGGCTACCAGTAGAACTTTTAAAAGCTTTACAGGGAATACATTTAAATACAAATTTTTAGGGCAAGGGATGTAGTTCAGTGGCACCACGCCTTCCTGGCAAGTGCAAGGTCCTGAGTTTGATTCCTGGTATGGGAAAAAAATTAAAAATTAATGCATATTTTTGCTTTCAGAGGAAAAATGATCCCTATGTTCTTGCATCCCTGGTGTCCTTTGAAGTTAAGAAGATGCCTTACAGAGATCAGCCAGCAAAACTTCCAGAAGGAAGCATAGCAGTGAGTATTGCTTTAAAATGCATGCACACAAAAGTAATATAAATGAAATATTTTTAACCATCATGCAACAGGTGCTTTGTTTAACTCTTTGCATTGTTTCAAGAAAATATTCCAATTTTCACACACTTTTAGTTCAGTCTGGCAATTTCCTAGTGCCTTTTGATTTAGTTTTTTCAACTTTTGATATAATATCTAGCTTAAAAAATGTGAGGCAGAACTCAGACATTCAACATTTTTTAATCCAACCATTTTGACCCAGAGAAGCCAGGTAGCAATGATAATTATATCAAAATTAATTTTTAATACAACGTGGTGAGTCAGGTGCAGAGGAAAAAACTCTTTCTTAGGGGAAGTTGGTCTTGGACCAGCTCATTTTTCCTTTCTGTACAAGGAACCACCAATCTGATTGCAAAAATGTAAGAAAACACTATGAGCTTCTCTTCAATGAAATGTCATTTAAAAAAAAATTAAAGCTAGTAAACCTCACTGATCTTCAGCAATGTGGCAGGCCATGCAGAGGGGACAGAGGCATGGGAAAGAGAGGGTCAGCAGCCACTGTTACCAAAACTCTGCTTTTCCAGTTATATGTGAAGTTGTCAGAAAACTCTGGAAAATAACATTAAGATTGCAGCCTTCATATCTTGGTCATTCCATGAATATTTATAACCCCCAACTGGAACTCTTGGTCTTTGTTATTTAAAGTGTGCTTTGCAAAAGACCAGAATCTTCTAATCCTGGGAGAGGATTAGAAATACAAAAATAGGTCTCATTCCAGACCAGCTGAGTCCAAATCTGCATTTTATCAAAATCATCAGAGTATCCATATGCACAGTTATGGTAGAGAAGCACTACTATATAGGTGGTGTATAAATTGATCCTGTCTTCAACTCTTTGCAACCTAGGCCTTCAAACTTCATTATAATATAGTCTTTGTAGCCTAATCTACTTTTAGCAATTTAAGTTAATCTATCGATTAGTGATTTTCAGCTTTGAGCTCATAACAGAATCATCGTTCATGCAAATATATAAAAACATACAAACGCTAAGACCTCTCCTGAAGTATCTGAACTGTGCTTTAAAACCCTTACAGGTACAGATTTGGTAGTGAAACCAGGTTATCCTGGGCATCACCTGGGAGACAGCCACAACTGAAAAAAGGAGAGGTTTATTTTGGCTTACAGTTTTAGAGGGTTCAGTCTACAGTCCTCTGGCTCCAAGGCAAGAAGGGTATGGTAGAAGGGCCTGGTAGAGGAAAGCCTTTCAACCTATGGCAGCCAGGAAACAGAGAAGAGAGGAGTGGGGAAAAGATATACTTTTCTAGGCTCCACCTCCAGGAACCCACCTCCAACCAGGACCCGCCTCTTAACAACACATTCAGCTATGAACTCATCCATGGATTAAACTACTAATTAGCATAGCACACCCATCATCCAATCACCTTTCAGAAGCCCCTCTTCTGATCTTGAGGTTTGGGGGGGCACATTTTACACTTGATCTTAGCCAAAAGGCCTAGAAGCGATGGGAGCACATTTTAGATCTAAATTATACCAGGCTATTAAACACACCCAGGAAGGAATTGTTAAGAAGATTAAGAAAGTTATGTACATAAAGCTCTAGTATTGCACCTGGAACAAGGCAGTCTCAGTAAACGTTAATAATCTTACTAAAAGCTTCGCCTTCTCTGCTGAATCCACTCAGCCCACATTGGAAATGACAATTAAGATTTACACGGTCTCTGTATATTATTAGAGCCAGCATGGCCACATCATTCTTCATTTAGATCACTCTTGTTTTCTCACGAGCTGTCGGCCGTAGACTGGATTTATGATCAGCCCAGAAAACAGAGGCTTTAGGCTTTTACTATGGAGTATTCATCCAAAGAGGTTCAAAGGCTTGTTGCTCTAAGAGAGATAAATCCAGGCCCTTTGGTTTTCTCCAAGCACATGTTTCATAACAGAAACACATGTTAAGTTGGTTCCCTGAACAGGATCGTCTCTTTCTGTGCTGGCCACAGGTGACAGCCTGCTGTTCTCAGCTCATCTCAAAAGATCCACAAAATGCTCAAATGCTTGCTTCCTCCACCTGCACTACCCATTTTACCTTATGGGGGGGAAAAAAAGACCTGTTATCTAATCTAGATGATTTATCACACTGTGTATGTAAAGATTATTGGAAAAACATTTAGGAATGGAAGTGCTTTCAAGTCTCCCAATATCTGACTGGAGTTCTTGCAAGCAGAAAGTTATCTGTGTAGCACAGGGGAACAGTCTTTCTGTGGCTTGATTTGATAGAGAACTCTGGTTGGAGCAGGCAGAGATTTTTTAGCAAGTTCTTCTCAAAGGTTTTGTCATTTTTCCCTCAAAAATATCCTAGCAAAAGAGAATTGCTGTAAGCTCATAGAATCAGTTGGAAGAGATAGTCTGAGGATCATCAGAATTGCAATTGGCCACCGGGGAAAGTCTTCATCTTAATTAGACAAAACAATATGTACTTGTTTTGCTAGGCTCCTGTGTGAGATGGTTAGTTTGCTGGTACTTCTTTTCAAAATGGCCATAATTCAGTCATACTTGAGACTTAAAGAAGCTTCACACATGCAAAAGTAGTTTCTATCTGCTACTTGCATAGCATCTGTGTTTATAACAAATGAACTCCTGTGACATGACATTTGTCCTGTTCAGACAAATGAACAAATGTGAGACAAAAGCTGTGATTCAGAGGGATAAGAGTGAACACTGAATTGTGGCAGCACAACAAAGAAGAAATCATTCAACTATTTGAACAGTTTTTGGACTCATCAGTGAACCTTGGCATTTGCATACCATGCAGCTAATATCCAGTTTATATATGGAAGAAGGCATCACTGCCTAGTATAATTCCAAAGGTGGTTATCATAAAATATTTCATGGAAATCCTTATTTAAAAGCCCATACATAAACTGGAAATCCATTTGATTTGCAGATTTGTAGCAAAATTTTGACATCTGAAAATGGAATTCTTACATGAAATAATTGCTTGGAATACAGATTTATTGTAGGGACTACTTATCTCAGAAGAGCTCTTTAAATGTTATTAAATGTGTGCTCAGCGGATCCACTGTGTTATTATTTTGTTCTAAATGGCACTGCAGGTAGGGTGTCTTGGTACAATTATTTAAAACATCCTTCTGACCCCACTAAAGTATGTTTACAGAAGATTTTATGATACATAAATATAAATGTCAACATTAATTGCAGTTGCAAAGGCAAGAAGGCTCTTTCCTTCTACTTTGGTATTTTTTGTGAAAATATACAAAAACATATCATAAATTCAATGATAAAATGTAGACACCTTAAAAGTTTATTTATGGCCTTTCAACTATAATAAAGAACAATAAGATTTATAACTCAATGAAGGTAAGATTAAATGTTCCCTACTTAAGATCACTTTCAGAAAATCTAAACTGCTTACAATTTAAGAATTTCACTCCTGAGATTGTAGATAATGGTAATAGGTGAGTCCTTAAATTTTTATGCTATTTCTTTCAATAGGTACAAGATTCTGCTAAACAAAAGTGTATTAAAACAGATTGTTGATTCATTGACATGGAAATGAATTTTTCCTCTAAATTTTAAGTACTCTAGTTATTCAACATTAATCTTTTTAAAAAGTTGACATAGTGAATCCCAAGCTCTCGTTTTGAAAGGAAACCTTTATTGCTACATGCATTTCATCTTCTGCCTTGGGATACTGTTTTGATGAAAGAATTTTATAATGAAGGACTCGGTAATTCAGCTAATCTCACCACTGAGTAAAATTGTACAGAATGCTACGGAGCTGTGCGGCCCAGTATGGTAACTTCTAGACATATGTGGACATTTCATTTCTGAAATGTGGCCAGGGGAACTAACGAACTGAACTTAGAGTTTTGTTTTACTTTAATCATTGAAATGAAACCTGAAACACTGAAGCATATAAAATGTTTCTCCATTAAACATAGCTTTATTGATTTTGTAGAACTACATTTCACGTTTACCATTGAAATTTTAGTAATTATATGTTGCCAATGCACAATGCACACTGGATTTTAGAGATAGTAAAAAAATGTAAAATATCTTTATATTTTTATGTCAATTTATGAATATTTATATCAATGACTCTCTAAAATAATGTTTATAATAATAGATAATAGTTGGTATTTAGTGTTAAATAAATTATATTATTAAAATTAATTACCACATTTACTATTACTCTATTTACTGTGCTACTAGAAAATTTTAACTTACACATGTGACTTGCATTATATTCTTATTGGGCAGCACTGATCAAGAGCCAAGGTTATAACTGACAATAGGACCCATGGAATTTCAGAGAACCTGGAGAGTTTGATAAGTATCATTTGAAATGAATGAGCGTTTCTTACTATAAGTCACGTTTTAGTCTTTAGAAACTAAAAATTATGGGCCCAATTAATATGCCAAACTAAGCTTTTTGGAGGCTTTTCAAGATGGATCGTAAGACAAATATGAACGTTAAAAATACCAAAGTTTGGGTATTTGTCAATATTTTACTTTTTGCTCACACTTGCCCCAAATTAGTCCACAATTCTCCAACACCAGTGTATGTTTAGACAAACTTGGGTCCTAGAGAAGTGATCAATTAAATTCTTCTCTGTTAAGCTCACCTGCAGTTCAAGTCTCCAGTTTGTCTGTGCAGAGCAATGAGTTTCCACCTGCAGATGAAACACCCATTGCAGTTGGCAGAGTTACTGATCTCTCTGCTGCTTTATTCTCAGGAGGACCTTTCTTTCCAAGACATATAAATGACTCTTCTAATCATGTGTTATATACAGCTCTTTCCAGTAACTGTCTGTCCTCTCCACTTTGAAAGTCTGAAGAAATGCTCTGGGTCACTATTGCTGGTTTTCTATATTTCCACTGACCTTGGTGTCCATATGACTTTTCCACTATGTGGCAAAAAGCCTAAATAAATATAGGAAGGCAACATGGCAAAAGAAGTTCTCTGCAGTTGGATCCATTTTAGACTGAGATTGGGCAGCCTCAGCACCCCACAGATGTCCCAAAAATAGAGATCAAGGCAAACAGAACCAGGCGCAGGGGAGAGACCCTTGAGTTGCGTATCTTTGAATACTGTGTTCCTTCTCCCTAGGGAGTTGCATGGGCTGACTTGCAAGAACTCTGCATGACATGCTTCATCCTAACACTTTAGAGTACTCAGAGAAAGGTTGGGGATTTTACAAAAATGAATCTAATGTTATGCAAAGCAGACTAGCAACTGTTTTGATAATGAAAATTTCAGAATTTTGAAACTGAGGAAGAATTTCGGATTTTTGGACCACTGCATAGTGACCATCTCCTCACAGAGTGTTTTAAGGCCTAAATAAAAACCCAGCAGGTTTTGTAACTGTCCCCATAAAGTTGTTCCTGGCTTCAAGGGACCCTGTTAAGTGTATGCTGTCAATTTCACATTTTATTTAATTGTACTTTTCATCATTATTGCAAAAAAAAACTCCTCCCACTATCTTTATTAGCTCTTTGTAAGTGCCCCTCCTGGTTTGTTTCTATAGGTAGTCCAGTTCTACAGACAATGCATCAAAGACTGCAATAAGCAAGTGGCAAATGTACCAGGCAGAGGACTCAGTGGCCATCCACTCATTCCATTCCATTTCCTTTGTATTAAACTCTTAGCAACTGAAGGGTCTGTGCCCCTTTATTTCAACTCCTTTAGAATTTTTTGAATTCACAAAAGTCATATTGTTTTCCCAGTTTAAAATGAAATAGCTGTAAGTGACTTACAATTTGAATTAGGTAAATCCACAGAGTAAAGGTTCAGAAGTATCCATTGCTTCTCTTACCTCAGTTTCTTGTTAGCAAATTTTAGCAAGCTCTAATACAGGTGCAAAATATAGATTAAAAGTGTGTGGTTCCTTTGGTAGACTTAGAACAGAGTGGGAAGAAATTTTTCATTAAAAAACAAATCTCAATAATTTCCACAACTCCAACGTTTTCTTTCCTGGCTCATTATAACTGGCCTGTAAGTCAATGATCTCTATTGTCCTTTTCAGTTCCAAAGTTCTGAAATTCTCCTTACCAAAACCATCAGTCCACTCCCAGTAGAGTTAAGTTCATTTGGAAATACTACTTCACAGCCTTTCTCTGATCACTGAGAATGTTAGGGCTGAGCAGAGATGTCATGAGGTGTAATTAAGATAAAAGGATAAGCACAGAAATAACTAGGTCCTAATTTGCTCATGTAGACATAGATATGCAAAGGATTGCTTTATAATAAACTACCTAGGCTATAGATTCCTGAAGGCATTACAACTGCTTTGAATCCTTGAAATAAAATTCTTTGATATGTGAGCAATGTGTCTGTCAGTGTGCAGCTGTGGCGAGCAGGTGGACTGTTTGCATGAGAATACCCCTTCTTACTGATATGTCAGATGAGATAGGAGTAATGTTGGCAAAGAGCAGTAATGAAGGCAAAGAGAGAAAGTATAATGGTGAGTAGGTTAAACCCAGCCCCATTCTCACTGAGAATATCTGTCAAGTCCCTGGCAGGCTTGTCAAGGTGGAGCCACCACCAAGCTCCCTACTTTGTCAATTCCACTGTTTAATCTACATAGAAATGATAGTTGGTGCTGTAGAATCAAATGAACGAGGTCATCGTGTTGTGTGCTGCATAGAAGAAGTTAACTAAGAAGGGGGGAGCAATAAAAACCAGGAGAACATCAGCAGAGTGCTCTTATCTAGTTAAGAAGGCAGAGGGGGAAGAAGGGGCCCATGGTTAAAGCCCGACACTAGAGTTTAGGTGATTCCCTGCCAGGACAAGTTCTAGAGGCACCAACATTCGTCATGATTTCATTCTCTCCTGAGGGAGTGGTCTTTAGAATTATGCTCTAGAGTTCTTGAGCATGTTCCAGGATTGAAAGTGGATCAAATTTTAATCACACTTATAGCTAGGAACACATAGACCAATTTAGTGGAAGCAATGCTTGCTAGTCTGTTACACCAGATATGTCAGTGTTGGTAAATAATGTTTGGTTCCAAAAATAGGTTTCTTTCTCTTTTGTTTGACAACAGATTTTAGCAACATGGCTGGGTCTCCCCTTGATTTTGCATGGAGGTCTACAGCTTCCATGCACACTCTCCCAACATACAAGCCATAGAAGTGGTTCTTCTGCCTCCCTGGGGAGGGTAGGGAGGTTCTTAGACACTGAGGTTGCTGTCCAAGTGGGAACATCTCATTTTCCTCTGGGCTCTTTTGCAATAGTGGGAAATGAAATCGGCTTCAATCTCTAAAACCTCAGTTGAATTCTGCACCTAAAGAGTAGATTTAGGATTAAAGCTGCTTCAACATATCAGGACAATATTCACTTTGTGCACTACAGCGTCAACCTAAATAACAATCAGAGAGCGACTCTGCAGAAATAATGACACTTGCTTGGGAATAGAACAGCACTGCAATGAGAATACAAATGCTTTAGTAAACTATGCATTTTTCAAAGACATTGAGGCAGAGGAAATTTTTAATAGTAGAATGAGGAAGATTTCACAAGATATTTTGAAAGAATAATCATTAGCCATATGGATGAGTAACCAGGGAATTGCTATTCTGAAATTGAATAGATAGTTGCTAGGCAGACAACTTGCAGAAGCATTCTGTGTATGATCGTGGCCTTTGTGGAAGGCTGTGGTCCTGGCAGTCTTTTGTAACAGTCACTATTAGGCAATCATGCATCAGAACCTCTTCCTTCCTTCCTTCCTTCCTTCCTTCCTTCCTTCCTTCCTCCCTCCCTTCCTCCCTCCCTCCCACTTCAGTTCTATTCTCAAATTCCCAACCTGCCAAACTTGGGAATGTGTTTCTTCTTAAAAGGCCATGTCTCACTGCTGTAACCCCACAAACCTCCCAATGGATGCTTTTGATTATTGTATAGAATAATGCAGAATGATCCTCAGTATTACACTGGCAGTGACTACTGTGTTTCACCAAATAGTTTTCAAATTAGAACTCATTTCCTTTATTTTCATTTCAGATTAAGACGTCAGTTATTTGGGCAACTCCAAATGTTTCCTTCTCAATCCCATTGTGGGTCATAATACTGGCAATACTTCTGGGATTGTTGGTTCTGGCCATTTTGACCTTAGCTTTATGGAAGGTGAGTTGATTTCCTTTGTTTTTCCTTTTGCACTGTGGTGGTCACTGAGGGAATTTAGAAGGATATTGTTGGGGATTTTGAAAGATAATGGTAAAGACATAAAGATTTTGAAAGGTCTGAAAGACATGAAGAAAAGTGTATTTTGTTTGCTCTGTCATACTTAATATATCCACGTAGCTAATGTTTAAGATGATGAGTAGTCCTTAATATTGTTTTAATCTTGAAATTTCTTGCAAATAATAGAGTTATGCTCTATTAACCAAGACCTGTGATCTTTCCGATTAGTTTGGAGTAATAATGTTAATAATGAACATTTCTCTTTCTGGTTTAATTAGCCAAGGTCTTAAGCTTTTCTATCATTCTATCATTAATCCTTTGAGATATTTCTTTCTTTCTTTCCTTTTTTTGGTACTGGGGATTGAACTCAAGACCTTGCGCTTGCAAAGCAGGTGGCAGCACCATTCAGCTAAATCCCCAGCCCGAGATTTTTCTTTATAAGCACTCCACTGATGCAATTAATATAGGTCAATCATATTTTTTTTGGTGTTTGTTTGTTTGTTTGATTGGTACCGGGGATCAAACACAGGACCTTGCACTTGCAAGGCAGGTGCAGAGCCACTGGTCAATCATATTTTTAGTTTTGATTATTAATGAGGCCAAATAGATCATGTGTGTTATAAGGTGCTTACACTTGTTTCAAATTGAACCCAGTGCCTTTATACTAAGCTACATCCCCAGCCCTTTTAATTTTTATTTTTTAAAATTTGGAGTCAAGGTCTCACTAAGTCACTAAATTGCTTGGGCTAGCCTTCAACTCTTCAACTTGTGATCCTCCTTCCTCAGCCTCATAGAGTGCTGGAGCTACAGGCACTGCCACACCCAGCCTGTCTTTATTAGGAAGCATTAACTTAGTCTTTGATGTGTTCTACTGAGGTTTGTTCTAAAAGAATACAATAAAAATTAATTTCTGGCTCTACAAAGTACACAACTGCCAAGCTGCATGGAGCCTTCCATTCCAGATGCCAATGTCACAATTACATGACTATAAAAGGAATTAATCCAGTCACATTAGTTAACTATTATTGTCATGGTTCCCTAAAAACATAGTATATTTTTATTTGGAAACAATATGCAGGATGCTCAATAGGCCTACAAATTGAGAAGACTTTGGTTTTGTGCTAAAGAATAGCTTTTCTAATCATGCTGTTTTGTGCCACTCGGAGCCCACATAATCAATGGCACACATTTAGAAATGACTCTTGTGTTATTATCTGTTTATAGTAACCATATTTCCAATGAACATAAGGTACAATTACATATTCCAATCAACAAACTATTCTCCCAGCTCTGGAGAAGAGCCCATATTGGGTTTCCAACATGAGAAACAATAAATAAGAATTGAGGTTCCAGGGTTCTAGCAAAAGGCACATCCTTCTTGGAAGAATACTAACTTGAAATTCAAGAGGGAGAAAATCCTAAAACGATTTCTTCCCACAATTGGTGGTTAATCTGTGGAAAGTCACTGGAGTATTCATGCCTAGCTGGTCCCAGCTGGGATGGAGATAAAGGACAGATCCAATGTACTCCTAATTACTGTATGTCCCACCAAGTGTGGAGAGGTAAGCAATGATCTCCTCACTTTTTACCAAGGTCACCTGGAGTCCACAGCAGGAGACGATGGATGTCCCATTTCTGGTCAGCAGTTAGTGCTGTTCAGCAGGCTTGCAGAAAAGCAGGAAAAGATCTCTGGGACATGCTGCTGGAATCCCAGGGAAATATCGAGGTCCATAAGTGGTTTGTATAAGATAGGGACATTCAGATAGCCTGATGTGGTGACACACACCCGTCACCCCAGTATGCTAAGGAGCTGAGGCAGGAGGATTGCAAGTTTGAGCCCAGCCCAGGCAACTTGGCAAGATACTATCTCAAAATAAAAGACAGTGAGGGTGGCTAGGGATGTAGCTCAGTGTGAAGACCCTGGGTTCAATCCTCAGTACCATTAAAACAAAAAATGTAGAGATATTTTACCACTGCCCCATCATGGCCAGAGGACACAAATGCTGTCCTCCTGCTCACCTTGCCCTGTGCCATGAATTCCTTTCTCCAGGCAACTACCAAACACATTGCTTGCATCTCTTAATTTGGAGAATTGAACAGATTACTTTCAGAGAACTCCAAGTTCCTCAGAACATATATAAAGTGACCATTCTTTGAGTAAGGGCTTTGACTTGACCCTAGAACCTGTTTTTCTTTTTCACAGTGCGGATTCTTTGATAGAGCAAGACCTCCTCAGGATGATATGGCCGACAGGGAACAGCTGACCAGTGACAAGACCCCAGAGTCATGACAAAGAAAAACAAAGACTCTCTTCAAAGCAAAGAAAGGACAAAGGGGCTAAATAATAATAGCTTTCCTGTGCCTGCCAGTGAGCTAGGAAATGGAAGGGCCCTGAGATTATCACCTCATCTACTCTGCTCTTTGGGGAAGGAAGTTTCCATGGAGCCCAGAGGACCGTCTTGGAAATGGAAATGACAACACTAGAAGCAGTCTGCAGTCTTGGAAGATTTCTTTTGCTTTCCTCATTCCATATTTGGCAGACATACTGAAATGGGCACTGGAACTTGAGTTGCAAAGATGAAACATCTGAATTAGTACAGAATTTAGAGAGTGAATTAAGACTGAACTCTCCAACACTACTGTATCCAACAGAACATTCGACACCTCCCTCTGGAAAAGAAACGTTTCTAATGGTGTGATGGCTCAGGGAGACAAGCAATATGTTGTTGGTACTGTGAAAGTACTCTTGAAATGACAAAGATAATTTCATAAGCGAGGATAAAGTTTTATTTATTTATTTTCCATATCTCTAGGTTGAGATTCTGGTTGTCTGGAGGATTTGGAAATTAAGATTTGCTTAGCTAGTATTCAGAATCACTTACTTCACTTCCTTCCTATGATAACCACTTTGTTCAGATAACTCATTTAACAGAGCTTTTTCAAAATTTAGACAGTATTAAAGAAAAGTAAATTGGTATTAGGAGTCAGTTTGCTTAATTCCTTGCCTCTTTCTACCTGGAATTACTCTTATTCACACCATCCAGGCACTCATTTCTGCTCAATTTAGCTTGACAAAATGTTGCATTTATATTTCCTTATATATATAAAGATCTTTTCACTGATTTAGTTAAAATATGAATTTCAAGGTACTCACCACTCTGTGTGGTATTTAAAAGTAATAGTAAAAATGTCTAGAGTCCATTAATAAAAAATTAAAACTATAGGTAAATATTATTTTAATAACTATAACAAGCAGCACCAATACTTAGCTTGGAATTAAATAATTTTTCCCTGCTATACCTCATACTTAGATCTACAGAGAAAACATACTGAGCATAAATAGGATGCAAACATAAAGTTCTACAGGTGTGAGACAATCCCAGAAAACGGAGTCCTAAGGATTTTTATTTAAAATAGTTTATTCCAACTTTATTACTCATTCTTACTGCTCATCTTTATAGTACATATCCTTGGAGAATGATCTTTTCTTTAAGCTAGTTTTCCCTTCATCTTTAATTTAACCATCATTAAAATGTGTTGTTTAACACCCTTGTAAATAATCCATAATCATGTGAAATGTCATCATTTTGAAGAAAAACTGACCAGCCAAATCCATAGGTAGTCTTCGAAATTCTGTATCCTTTTTATAACAATGAAAAGTTACTATGAAGAAGTGCTGAACAAATTTTTGTGTGCAATATTATAGAACTATGTATCGAAGGCATGTTTACACTGGCATTAGTTATTTTTAAATGAATATCCGGGATATTAAGTATGATAGAACAAGCTGACCAAGACTCTTAAGTTTACAAAGCAATTGGAAAAATCTGTGTCCCAGTTTCAACAATCACACTTTATTTGAAAGATGAACCAAACTCACAGACACTAAATTTTATGTGGTGCCTTAACCTGGAGAGGAGCCATTTGGCTCCAGCTGCAGAACCGCATTGGAAAGCGAGCCAAAGGCGCATGGAAGAACACACATTGCAGTTCATCTTCTTCCTGCTTGTGAATTAAATGCTGCCGTGGTAGCTGTCTGGTGCCTGTCAGTTGAATTCTCCTCCCATTCTGCAGGCACTTGCCTCAAAGAATTTCAGGGTCCCCCACCAGCTCTTAGGGTCTCCTTTGTTAGTCCTATAGATAGACCCAGCTTTACAAGTAGGTGACCCTGTGTATGATACGATTTGAGGAATGCCAGACAGCTCTATCTGCCCTAGATGATGTCCTAATTGTTATCGTGTCTGACTTGTGACCAAGAGAAATTAGCTCCCTAGAATCTTTGCTGATAAAAGGTCCCTGAGAGAATGCACCCTATGCCTTAAAGATAGTTATTTGTGAAGGAATTCATAAGTCCTAGAGCCAACCACAGGGGTCTGAGGATTCATCCTGCAGACACCTGGAAGAAACCTTAGATGCCAGCAGAAGACTGGGACCCAGAGTACAGCAGAGCAGAGGGGCTTCCAAAGCAAACCATGGCTTCCCAGGCTCAGCCTACCTAAAGGGATGGCAGGGGACTGTGACACACAGTCACGTGGTGGCCTCTGCCCCTTAGAATGTGGGCGTGAACAAGGCAGGGAGAAAACTGAGGTCAGGTGAGCCCTCCAGTGATGAGTCTTCCACATCTCCTCCACATGGAGGAGACACATCGCACAGAGTGTACAATGGGAACAGCATTGTCCATTTCTTCATAATGTGCTGAGTCTTAGCACCTCCTTTTCTTTTCAAAGAAATCCTTTTTCCAATTCTTGCAGCTGTTTTTTAGGACACAGGAAAATAGGAAAATCGAGTTTTATAAACTTGGGGATTTTTATACAGTAAATAAGTAACATATACTAGTCACCACTGAAGCTCTACTCTTAAAACCTACCTTTTTTTATTTAAACACATGTATAGATATCTGTGAAGATTTTCATGTAACTATGTACCTTGTCACTAATAAAATTAAAACTTAAAGACACGATGGCATTTTTATGCTTTATTTTACAAGCAACATAAAGCTTTGATTCTTTATTATAAAAACATTTAACCCTGGAAGATATTTGAAAGCACAAAATTAGGGTGCTCCTTGGAACAATGAAAATGTTCTGCACTTAGATTGAGGTGTGATAGTTGCACAACTCCTTGAATATACTGACAACTTTTGAATTGTGCCATTCATGCAGGTAGCTTTATGGCATGTGAATATATCAGAATAAAAAGGTTAATGGGTTACTTATAATGCTTTCACCCTTTTACAACTGATTTGTCCAAATTATCTTTCAAATTTTGTCTACAAGTCCATCTTAGCTCCTTTATGAAGCCTTCTCTTGCCTGTTTGCCCAATGTCCAGACTCCTCCTGACTTTCAATAGTATTTTGTAAATTTCTACACCTCTCTATCTGTAGATGTGACTATCTTCCACTCTCAACAAGAGCAGGAAGGGAAACACACTTTTTCAGCTGTGTGTTTCTCACACCTAACAACTACATCTGGTATACAGTTAAGGCCGACAGCCCTCCAAATTCTAGAACAAAATAAATTAATATGCATATATACATATGCATACAGTAAAAATCCTGGTTAACATGTACTTTTGTAATCCATTTCAATTTTTAAGCACCAGAGTACACCAAAATATGTGTATCTCATCCTGTTCACAATCTTCATACAATGCTATTACAGGTAAAGCATCCCTAGTCCAAAAACCCAAAATATTAAATGCTCCAAAACCGAAAATTATTTGAGCACCAACATCATGAGACAAGTAGAAAATTTCATTCTTGACTTTGTAAGAAATCACAGTCAAAACACAGGAACACTAAAAATATTGCACAAAATTACTTCAGGTTCTTGTGAAACGTGCACAAGGAACATAAATGAATTTCTTGTTTATACTTGGCTTCCTTCCCCAAGATATCTTATTGTGTACAAATATTCCAAGCTCCAAATAATACAAAATCCAAAACACTTTTGTTCCCAGCATTTCAGTACCAGGTACTACTACCAGGTACTCTATTTAATTGTTTAACCATCTCCCTCTTGTGGGGAATAACTGTCCCCAGCTTCTTATTTAAAGAACATCATTGAATTGAGTACTTTCCTATGTGGGGCTTCCTTTGGTTTATTACAGTAAGTGAACTTTGCAAGAATGAGAACTCCTGGTCAAAGTACATGGAGATATTTGTTGTTCTTGATACATGCTACCCTTAAGGATTAAATCTATTTGCATTTAACTGTACTCTTTTCACAGGAAGGAAATTCCTATGGCAGCATTATTTAAGCTATTTGGTGATTGTTTTTCAAATGTTACTTTATTTTAATTTGTATTTCATTATAATTCCGTAAGTTTAATGTACACATTTCATTTTGACTTCTAATATGTATCAGCCACTTAATACATACCATTCTTCATCCTATCTCATAAGATATTTAAATACTTGCCACTTCCTTAGCTGGCATTCCTGAATATCATAAAAAGAAGCTAAAAAAAAAAGAAGCTACAACTGAGTACTTTCCCTATGGCCAAGAGCAAGGAGTAGGATGAGTCTTTCTTTTTACATTATATGTCTCTTTCACTTCAAAACATATATATATGCTTATGGTCTAGAGGTGTTTCATTATCCCTGAGGAAAATGTACAAAATCAAATCTACGATTCAGTGAAATCAGTGCTGAAGGTCAAAATGGAAGTAACCAACCCAGCACAAACTAGACTGTGCAGGCTTGCCTCGAGCACACAAAGGAACTACCCTGGGTCAGCCCTGCTGGTTAAAGCCTGAACTCCTCATGGTACATTCAGAAGAAGAGCAACTCTTACTGGTCTTTCATAGAAGTAATGCTTTATAGATGTACATACAGGGTGACAGCTCAGCCTTCTCAACAAATTCTGATGCCATCTTTGCCACCTCCAACCATTTTATATGTTAACACTTACCTGAACCAATGTTTACTTTTTGAACATTGAGGTGTGGGTCCTAGACTAAGCAAAGTGAGATACTACCCTTGCTTATTACCCCTATGGAAAGAGCATTCTGGTGCCCTCGGGAAAAGCTAAAGCATGGGGATATTGGCCTGCTATTCATGAATGCTAAAACAGTTCTTCCCTAACATCTAATGTTCTTTTCCCAAAAAGAACAGATTTTCTTTCGCAGAACTGTGGTTACACTAAAATGTTGATTTCTGTAGCACACAAACCCTAAAGCACTGAAATCTTAACTTCATTTGACAGCTGAGTAAAACCATGATTCCCCAGGTGATGTCTAAGTCAGAGGCAAGTTCAGAATGGCCAATGTACCTAGATTCAACTCTGCATGCCATGCAAAACACTCCCCACCTCACAATCAAAATACCATCCGCCTGACATGTCACCTTTGCAATTGTCTATTAGCAAGTTCTGTTGTCTATGATTGGGGGCCAAAATCCACAAGGGAATGTAGTCTGATACTAGGGCCTCTTGACAACAAACAGTCTTGGATTTAACTTCTATTGATGCCATGATGTGACAGAGTAGGGATGTTCTTAACATCTCGGTGCAGTTGTTTATTTCTGTGCCTTGTGCTGCAGAAACAGCTATAAAACTTTTATTTCTATCAGGACTTTTATTTTTTTAAAACCTCTTTATGTCTTCCTGGTTTTAGTTTCCTACTGCTACCATAAACTGGATGGTTTAAAACAACAGAAATTTATTGTCCCATAATCCCAAGGGCAAGAAGAAGATCAAGGTATCATCTTCCCTCTGCCTGTGTCATGTTCATGCCCCCCCTTTGTAAGGACACCAGTCATGTTGAATTATGTCCACTCCAATGTTTCCATTTTTAACCTGACTATATCTATGGGGATCCTTTTCCCCAGTTAGATCACATTCTGAGATATTGGAGGCTGAGATGGCAACATATTTGGGGGGGCCCAATTCAACTCATAATATCATTCGAAAGTATATCCTATAGGAGAGTTTGACAAATGAACCCAAGATGACAAAGAATATTTGAATTAAAAATAGGCTGAGGAATTTAAAGAAAGCAGCTTTATCTCAGCATTTTGATTTTTACTAATCCAGGTAAGAGAGGTGTCAAGTGCATGACAGATTCATGGACATTTACTTATTTTTCACTTGCTACTTCCATGCAGACATTAGGACAATAGCATTTTTATATAATTTACCCATCTGCCATGCTCAGCTCTTTAATTTCTTATCATCATAACTCACACCTTCGTTCTCAACTTTTCATTTGCCTAAGTCTCAACTGATAGAATTCTCCAAAAAACTGGACTCTACAAGGACAGAGATCAAAGCTCAAATTCAGCTCTAATTGAGCTGAGGGCTCAGAGGAGCCTAACTAAAGTCAAACCCAGGAGAGAATCTTTCTCAATACTAGAATTATCCTTGTGTCAGATGAATCAAGGTCTAGGAAAGGTGAGTAGCTGTGCCATAGTAAGGGGCATTAACAGACATGTGTATTAGGTCAGCCTAATTCCAGGGACCAAGATCACTGGTAACAGATGCTGTGAGTTCCTCCTAATCTGTGCTAAAAACAGGCAAGGAACCATTCCAAACCATGGGGCTAAAATAGTTTCTCTTGATCTTTTTAATTCTCCCATGTAGAGACCATAGTAAGGGCTAAGATCTGTAAGGGGTTTTTAGGTACAAAGTCACAAACCTAAATCCTTTCTATAGGTTACAAAGGATTGGGAATCAGAACCATAGAAATCCTGTCCTCTTCAGCTTACAGAATTCTGTTTAGATCCATGTACCTAAGGAACCATTTCCAACATCCTTTGCCACCTACAAATTCAACAGAGGATATTTTAACTTTGAAGATCTCTGAACAGAGACACTGTCGTGCTTAGGGTCTTTTGTGAAGAGTGGAGTTGACCCCCAAAGCCACAGGAATTCCTGGGTTTGCAAATAATGCATTTTACATCATTTGTCTTGTGCCAAAAGCCACTCATTAGAAGTCTAAATCATAGAATAAACTTATCAAATAAAAACCTACTTTTTCTGTTTCATTTTAAGAAACTGTCTGCCTAATGATCTTATTGCCCAGAAGGTAAATGTAACATTTCATTTTCATCCTTTGAAAGCTAGAAATAATAAAGGATTAACCCTGACAAATAGAATTCCAACTTGATCCTCAACCTAAGAGGCTCCGCTGACTGTATCAACATCAATCTCTTTTCATAAGTAATCCAGGTGACATTGAAATGCCATCCATTTTTTAAGTCAAAGTGTTATACATACAACTGACAGAATGAATCTCTCCTAACTCACTTCCCCTTAGGACAGAGAGGAAGAGACCATGGCGATCCTTTCTGGCTAGGTCAAGGAATGATAATGACAGTGTATTGCCCGACATTGCAATGTGAAGCCATCTAGTGAGGCTGCATTTGGGGCAAGTAGAAAGAGAAGGAAGTCCAAGATATACCTTTCCTTTCTCTTTATGTGTTTGGACCACAGCCTTCAAGAATGAATATTTACCCTTGGAAGTTGGAAGGGATGTGTATGAAGAGTGTGAGCCATGGTGGAGAGGCAAAATGCACCTGAACACATCCTACGAACATTCTGTCTGCCTGAATGCTCAGGTGTGGGGCCATACAGTGCCTGGAGAGGGATGGAGCCTATGCAGAAGTCTGAGGGGAAGGGAGTTTCCCTCAGGGTGGATGAGCCCCACAGCATGGAGACCTGAAAAGGGAACTGAGGACAGGGGAGCGATGAAGAAGAGAAATCTCCTTAAGGACCAGCATTTTATGGCTGCTCCTCCCATGGACGATGGGAAAGTGACATTTAATGCAGTATTGAAAACTTCCTTCCTCCTGCATGGCAGAGCCTTCAGTGAACCCATCTTGGATGGATCTGTATGCCTCTCCTTGGTCATTTGTGTTCATGGCCCTGCTCTTGATCCTCCCTACAGCCATGCTCTTTGTCTTGTGCCTTCTGCTGTTTCTCCCATCAAAAGGCCGCCTGTCCTTCCCTGGCTGCCTA